GCATTTGATGAATAAGGGATTCTTTATTTCCATTATGCATTGAGCCATTGACATGTTGATATATCTTACGAAACTATAAATTGAATTTAGTAATAAAACATGAGTAGATGTTTATTTGTAATCATATCAATATTTTTTTTCACTTTGCAATGCTTTCATGTTGTCAAGATTAAAATGTGGTATGCATATTAATTTACATACGCATATGTTGAAAAAAAACCTATTTAGTCTAAATATGAGTTTATAGATACCCTTAACAACTATCGAATGATTGCGACAACATTGATGAAAAAACTATATATTGTATAGATCATGTGATCTTCAAAACAGCGAACCTTTTGGCTCTTTTTTTAAAAAAAAAGATGAAAGTTTCTACTAGCTAGTTTTAGTCTTATAGAGATCTTTTATCTTTCTCTTTCCTTCTACCAATAATCTCGGTTTATGGATGTGTCGCACATTCGCATAATAACAATTTTAATATCCATCGTTACTTATAATTTGCTATATATAATATATGTGATTTTCATATAAAAAAAATCCACTTCGACTGTATAACCAAATTGAATTGTTGGGTTTACCGGTTTAGTCATGTTTGGAGATTTCAGTCCAATAGACATGCATAAATAATTAGCATTGTTACCTTTTGTCAACAAATTAATTAACATTAGATTTAAGTTATTCCCAACATTATATTATACTATTGATCGATCGGAAGGAATGTTTCCTAATGACATAATGCAAGTTACATCTCAAATTGAAAACCATGTTTAATTACACAATTACTAGAATAATATATATTAATCCCTAAATTTCTTTTGACTCCATGACAATAATCCAGAAATTTACAAACAAGACAGATGCACATGGGTCATGGGAAGTATAGTACGAAAACGATATGGCAGACCAGGACTTTAGTTTATATAAACTCTAAATTTAAAACTGGGTTTTATTTAAATTATTTTTTTGTCGGCATTTATATTATCGGAAATTACGAATTTTAGTAGTAACAAACAAAATAATATTAAAAAAAAGGCAAGTATAGCCCTTGTGAATGGTGGGGCCCATATGAAGGACAACGAATCCATGGAATCAAAACACATGTTTGAAGCTGACAACTTTCGATTTCTTTCTCATCTGTAGGTCCCATATTGTATTAGCTGTCACTTTATTCCCATTTTAAATTGAACCATTTACCAATAAGTTAAAATTAATTTCCGACAAAACATTTTTTGTTAATATTATAGTTTTCTGTATTTAGTAAAATTGAAATTTATATAAATGTTATCTTTAGCCGTAAATCTTTGGTCAAAAACTGATTCAAAAGGATTTAAGGAGATAAGTTTTTAAGTAGTTAAACAAAAAAAACACATACAGACAAAAATTAAAAGTATAATTTATATTTTAATCTTTGAAAACTAGAATAATTTTATATATGAGAAAATTGCAAAAATACCACTTTTTATGTGTAAATTTGTAAAAATGTCATTTAGAAGTGTTCATTTGCAAAAATACCACTAATTATATATTTTTAAATCCTGTATTTTAAAATTATAAACACTAAAAATGTTTTGATCCCTAAACCTTCATAAACTCTTATAACTAAACCCTAATAAAACATATTTAATCCAAACATAAATAATATAAAGAAAAAATAATTTTTAAAAAATTGTATTTTTGTAAAGATTTCAAAAGTGTGACATTTTTGTAAATTGGCACTTAAAAAGTGATATTTTTTTTAAATGACATTTTTTTAATTTGTCTTTATATATTTTGGTGGATAAATTGGAAATAGAAAAGGCGAAACTATGCCAAGTTGGCCTTTGCCCAAATCCAATGGGGTTGGCCGCAATTATTCCAAGTAAAAATGACGCCATTCATGACATCACTCTCTCCCCCGACAACACTCTTTACGGTCCAACCAATCCCAGCATACACGTGTCAACATCTCACCCATCCAACCAATACTCCTCAATGATGAGTTCGATATACCACACACGATCCAATATTTTAGCCCTTTCTTTCAACACAATTTCACA